TTCGGCATCTTGTGCTTACTTCCTTGCGTACGGATGACAGCTGCGTATGAATTAATTTATTTTCTGGTGCTTTCACTTCCAGAGACAGTTGTAAGCACTGTGTAACTGCCTCGAGGGTGCTTGACCACTTTAACACAACGTGGTGCGATCATCCCCCTTGCGCGGAGCGAGGGTTTTCCACCCCGCACAACATGATCTACTCGACCACCATTATGGTTACCGCCAAAAAAAAAAACGGAGGTAAAAAAAAAAAACGGTAACCTGGTTGCCGAGTTCACGAAGTGAATTGGCTTGTTTTACAACGTCTTTGCCAAGCGACGAAAACCCAATCCCGATGGCAAACACCGAGGGGGGCGGCTTGTTTTACAACGTCGTTGCCAAGCGACGAAAACCCAACCCCGATGGCAAACACCGGGGGAGGGGGTGGGGGGGAACAAAAAGTGCGTGAGACGCAACATGTCAACGACGCGCATGCATACCCCTCTGCTCTGCTATGCACATTACTGGTGCCCTCTCCATTTCTCATCGGTGGCGCGGCTTCATTCGGTCGAGAATTTGTGTGATATGAAGTGCTGTGCGTAGCGGAAGATGTTTTCATCTACACTGCTGTCCGGTTCGCCAGTTCCTAGAAAGCTACATGCCAGTTATGCATTCAATCACTGCAGTAATGCATACAATCACTGAAAGACTACCCGTTCAGGAAACGCACAAGTCAACGGGAATGTATTAGTCTAATGTCTGTACCAGTTGCTTCTTGCTGTTGGTCCCTTCGCCATGAGTGGGGGCACCCACTGTGACCACCTTTCCTCATGTTGTTGTTGGTGTTGCCTAGAGATAAAAATAAAAACGTTCCGATCTCTGACACGCCTTGTTTTTCAGGGTTCTAGGCTGTTCGTAATCTATCGTTCTTCTCGGCAAAAAAAGTGTAATTGATGACATCGGACAATAAAACGTTTCGTATACACCGTCACCGTAGGATCAGAAAGTACACCTTTATTTCCGGCTGAAGCTTTTCGAGATTCGTTTCAAGCTGCCACGCGTTCGGCATTGATCACAATTTTTGATCCGATGGCGCGTTTGCTTATTGCGTTTGGAAATGCACACCACACGGAAAAAAGACATCGATTGCGAAGCAAGCTGGTCCTAGCGAACCCATCGAGGGCTCCGAGCAACCCTCGGAGCACTGTGCTGCCATCTCAGCCGTTGATATTTGGTTGCCATGTGGCGAGGTGCGCTCAATGCGAAATTTTGGTCAGCTGACGCAGACACCGCTTGTTCAGATTCGCAAAGAACAGACCCTTAACAGACGCAGCATCATCCAACACACACATTGATGGACAAAGTCTTCATTTCTTGCTCGCTAGACCACCCTCCTGCTAAAACTTGCGAGGATGTGAGCTCCATCAAACCGCTCTGTATCGGAGGGACTGCGTCGTTGCTGTCGGCTTGTTCAGTGGAGGGACAACTACAATCTCACCGGTGACACAGCAAGAAATTTGTATAGCAGTGAGCGGCGTGCCATTTTTCGAACAGCAGTCGACCCTCGCCAACTTCGTTGCTCAGCCTCCCAGCCCGTCACAGCCTGTGACAGCCACAGCACAAGAAGCACCATACACGCAGCTACGGGCGGGTGGCATTGTGGTATCTGTGGGTTCGGTCAGTGACGAGGGGTCGCTACGAAACCAAACCTGTGACGTCGCCAATATCCGTCAACAGCTGTGTTCGAGCTGTGTTCGGAGTGTGTTCTAGCAGGGTGCTTTTTTCGGACAGCAGTTTGCCCTCTCACAAACTTCGATTCTCAGCCTCCCAGCGCCTCACGGTCCGTAACAACCACCCCACATAAGGCACCATTCGTACAGCCACCGACGCATGCTTTGCTATGCATACTGCTGTTATCACCCAGTGCACAGAGATCCCCGAAAAAACAAACCGACCGATCATGAGATGGTACGGGGTAGCAAGTTAGGGGCAGCATGTGGTTCTCATGAGAAACTGCCTTACTCGGTATTTACGGCCAACAAACGTATAGTTATATTCCGAAGTGTGCATCAATTTCCGGAGGAAAAGGAAAAGAAGAAACGGGCGGTGGGAAGAAAACGAAGGCGCAGAGGAGAATAGAATCCACTGGTGTCTCACAGCATTTGGGTGCTTAGGATATCACGCCCCCTGGACCGATTTCCAAAGCCTGTTTTCCACAGCAGAAGAAGTGGCGGTGCCGGACACGGTGGCATTGGAACTGTCCAGCCCAGAGTTTCCCGAATATGTATCATTTGTTTGGCATCATCGTCTTTAGTCGTGGAGCAATAGAGGTAGGTGTGAAATTCGTACATGTAGTCAATATTTGCTTTCAAAACTAACGCATGTTTACAATGTTGCCACGTGTGAACGACCCCGTGCAATTTTTCTGATAAAAACAGGGCGTGGTAAGGGCTGTGCGTTGGCTGACGCCTCTGCACGGTTGACGCGGTCTATGCTAGGCATGTATGTGGACACGTCAGGACAGCCGACATGCGCGTTTGTCACAAAATCCGTTGAAGAGATAACGAGCACAAACCCCCGCAAAAAAACGTCGAGAAACAACGAAGTACGTACAGCAGTACACCAGTACATGTACACCCCCCACCCTAACCAATGTCTAATGAGGCTGGGCACTGATTGACACCTTCGGGATAATTCTCCGTTGTTCATGATGAGTGAGAGTTGCATGCGCGCAGTAGGCCAAGAGCCGTTTGGTGTGCAGGACCAACTGCTGGTGTCTGAGCACGTGCAGCAACACCAAATAATGCTGAGTTCGCGCCTCTCCCGGAGGGGACACGGGGATACACAACACACTTTTCCTTCATTCATCCTTTGCTACCATCCAGAAAAACTGTAGGGGAATAGCTTACCTAAGCAGAAACTGCTGCCGGCATGTCGCTCTCTCTTGTCCATGCGCTACGGGTAGAAGCTCGTCTTGCCGCTCTTAGCAGCACACGTGCGGCGGGTTTAGCCGCGGCGGGTTTAGCCGCGGCGCTTGCCGTGCCAGTCCGAGCATCTAGAGATAGTAGCTGGTTGCCTTGGTTACGAGAGGAATGCCATCGGTCTGGTCGCTAATCGTCTTGGCACGCTGCGGCCTCTGGTCGCCTGTGTCAAGGCTCGTCACGTGGAAACGAGGGAGTGCAGGCCTACTGACTAATGCAACACACAAAGCAAACGCCACGAACAGGGGGCTCGCTGGTTCGAATGCACATCCCCCAGCCTCCCTTCCCATCTGTCTGGCGGGATCTAAAGGTTGTCACTGCCTCCCAACCTGTATCTTCGGTGCTTTCACCACCAGGAGCTCTGGCCTAAGGTTGTAGCTGCTTCCCATCCTGTTTGATCGGTACTTGGTACAACCAGGAGGGTTGGCCTAGGTTGTGACAGCCCTCCCAACCTTACGCACCCAGCCCTGTACAACCAGGAGGGCTGGCCAAGGTTGTGGCTGCCTCCCAACCCCCCACCACAACCTGCCCGACCTTGGGGGCGCTCACAATCTACCCCCAAGGTGACCTTTGACCGCCACGTTAGACTCGATCCTGGAGGATAAATGTTGACCGTACAGGGTGCGGATGGTGGTACTGTAATTCAAAGCCCGGTGTCAAAAGAGTGGGAAATGGAATTCATGTGCAATGCTAGGCGTGTATTAGGTATCCATTAACGCCCATTCAATCGTTGTTGTTGTTGTTGTTGTTGTTGTTGTTGTCGTGGATGTTCCTACGGTCGCCATTTTTCTTCAGTGATGCTTGCCTAATTGTTGTTGCCATTGCAAAATACTTCTCAGGGATACAAAGGGCTCAACCTTGGCACGTGCTTCTATCGGAGGCGGCAACCGAACCGGCTGATGATGCCGAGCTTTGATGTACCCAACTCCGCCGCACGGCTCACGAGCAACACCCGGCACATTCTCTCTCGCCTCGGCTTTGGTCTTGACGCTGACGACGAGCACACCGGCATGATGGCAGCTAACGATGAGGCAGAGAACGAGGCATCAACCGAACAGCAGCATCGCAAGGAGCAGCTTCGCGGTGGGGAAAAGCATGTTACTACCGCCGCCGATGAACTCGACAACGACAACGGCTTCCAGGAAGAACTGAAAAGGGTATTCCACCTCGCGGTGCGCGCGGACAGCACATATGAGAGAGAGTTCATGGGCACACTTTCGCACACGGAGAATGAACTTCGTGGGGATGAGGTGATGCTCTCGGCTCACAGCATCTCCCGCCCCCTCAGTCAGAACCCAGATCGTCCTGCAGAGTGTTGTGATGGGTAAATGTATGCCCAACCACCACTGCGGGTAGGGTGAAAGAGTAAATGATATCCTTAAGGTTTTAGTTTTTCATCATACACCGTGCAATGCGCGCGTGTGTGTGGCGTGTTAGTGTGTTCCGTCGTGAACATTCTGCCACCACCCGTCCGCTCTTCTGCGTTGCGTATCCCGTACCGCACACAGAACACGGCGTCTCTTGAAGTGTTTTAGTGAACAAACTCTGTCCAGCGCTCCCTTTCCCTCTTCGTAAAACATCCACAGAGATTTCGACATGAACCACCTCCAAGCGTGTACACCGTCTACAATGCGCTTGTACCGAAGTCGGCACTTTGAAAACAACTACATGTACATTCGTGCATGTCACGGCTCCGATGGCTCATGTATTCCCTTCTCCCCCCACCGTGTCGATACGTCTGCTTGGTCCGGTAACCCGGCTCGCATTAGTCCGTTGACGTGTCGAAGTGGAAGAAGGTCGTGTTTCTGCTCTGCTGCCGCCTCACAAACACAGTGTTCAAGAACTCTGCGCTTCTCGCTGACAAGAACCGGCTGGTCGCCGAGCTGCACCGCACTGGGCTTGAGCTGGAGGAGACGAGAAACCTCGTATCATCCCTTCTCGACAGTCACGTAACCGTTGATGGTGGGCCCGGGGACTCAGCGGTGACGGTGTCGGCACCGAACGCGCCTTCGCGCGACCAGTCGAACGAGAGTTTCGTCCAGAGCGCGACGGCGGTTGACGGCGACGGCGTTGACGCGCCACACTCCGACCATCAGCGAACCTCGTTCTACGACTCTGTCAATTCTAGCAACGGCGACGGTCTCAACGGTGGCCCGGTGACGCTTAGCATGGCCTCCGAACGCTGGAAGGACAACTCCTACCACCCCAATAGCGACAACGCCGGGAGGCGGTCGAGGTTTCCATCTGGAGCCGGTACGTTGGCCAGGCTTGCAAAGCTTCAAGGTCAGCAGCAGGGTGAGCGTGTTGAGACAATTATTCGTGATGATTTCGAAGATGTCGCCGCGGCGGCTACAGGCATTGCCCAAACTACCGACAGCCCAGTGGCGTCCGAACGATCGGCTTCTATGGTTATCACGACGGCGTACCACACCGAGGTTTCTGTTGGCGACCCGATCCTGCAGTGCTTTGGGAGTGGACTTGCTAGGCTTGTTTCGCCCGGTGCAATGCCCATCTCCGCGAAAGTATCAGAGATTGCGGCGGAACCGGCACCTGCGCCCCTGGGGTTGGAGATGTCGTATCTTCTCCCGAGTAAGGCTGAGAACGTCCCCTTGGCCGCTGCGCGATTGGCCATTTCCCGATCTCCGATCACGGTCGGGCCACGAAAATGCTCTAGGGTTGCACAGACGAAGCGAACATCGCCCCTCCGAAGTCACAGCACCACGGCCGACGGACGGGGAGGAACGTCAGTGGTGGGGACAGCGGTGGTACGCGCGAGGCCCCGGGCTCACTGCCAGCAGGGGCCCCAAGAGAACGCAGCACGAGCCTCAGCGGTGTCCTCAGCAGAGCGGGCGGCGGCCTTCGAGACAGAGATAACCGACCCTCTCGCCGAAGAGATCAAGGAAAACATTCGCTTGATTTCTCCGAGGCCCACGTCCCGCCGCCCCTCGACTACGTCGGCTGCATCCCCTCTTGCCCGGGTGCTACAGGAGGCCCGCGCCCCTGTACCCCATCCTCCTTCACCTTCTTCTTTGCTGTCGACCGCCGGAGCTGCTTTGCCTGTCGCTTCCACGTCTCCGGAACGGTACGGGGCCAGGGGATTGCAGCGAATCCACCAGCGGCCTCCGTGGCGGTTCGCCCGCTCGTCCACGTTTGCCGCCGCTGCCCGTTCCGCGAATCAAAGCGCTTCCTGCCACCGGGGCCGGAGTGCTCATCAATCAAGGATGGACGAAGAGTTCGTAACGGACATCTCGGAGGAGCTGGACAGAACCAGAAAGGCAATCCAAAGGAGCACCTCGGAGAAGATCTCCGCGCTAAAGAAGGAGCAAGCGACGGCGGCGGTAGCAGCAAGGAAGTGTTCGGCGTCGTCAGTGCAGAGGCATGCGACGGCAGTGGAGGGCCGCAGAAATGCAGCGACACAGCAGTCCGCCGGGGGAGGTTCACTGCCCTTGTTCGGCTTGCAGCTCAAAGCCGGATGCCGACCCAAGGAAACCGTTGCCAGCAAGGCCGTGATCAAAGAAAATGCCGGGACGAAGGCCCCCCGGAAGGGTCCTCGGTCGACGGTGGTTGGACCTGGGCGCGGAACCAAGGGGCGGCAGCGGGCTCGGGCGTGTCTCCCCCGCGAGGTACGGATATGAGGAGTGGTGTCAGCTGGTGACGAGAACCGAGGTCTCAAGTTTGACGCGACTTATGTACAAGCAAAGTCGGAAGAAGCGGGACATTGTAGACCAAGAGCTACCGGTATGTAGGTGCTTGCATTTTTACGCATTGGGGGGCGTTGGCAAACCGGGCAGCATGTTTCGCACTGCTTTTGACAGCAGTTCGTGATAAAGCATGGAGGTCGCTGGATGTCCGTCACCAATGACAAAAAAGTCAATGCCCCACGTTTTTCCCGCTTGTGTCCACGTTCCACCGAAAAATGTTGCTGCCGGCATTAGAACGCGGTCAGTTGGCCAGCCACCTTTCCGATGGGTCCTCTACAACCGCCAGTGATCACCAATGACAGGCTGAGGGTACCGTTGACCTTTCGGGCTCCGTTGCTCTTCAGCACGTTGCAATGCTTCGCTTTCACGTGATCAGGCGGCTACGCGGGCGTTACCGTGAACGTTCCTGTTTTTGCCACCCCGCTCCGGTACTTTTTACCTCGTCCGTAGCAGTTCTTCGTGCCGATGACATTTGTTCGCGAAAATAATCACACAGACACCCCCCCCCCCGTCATCTATGCTTGTGTATCTGTTTCTACCTTCGCTACCTCAGCAGGGCCGGTAGGCACACTGTAGCACCACCGGGAGAGCTCGAGGTCAAAGCGTGTGAGGCGCGGCAACTTGCCTTTTTGAGGACGGAATCCGAATACCTGAAATCGGCCCAAAAAGGATACGAGGGATTGCGGGAATAGGTCGGCTCAACCGTGTGGGCAACTGGCGTGAAGGTTCGGCAGGTTTTTGGTCTTTAATCACTATTGTGAAACGGGTAATCAAAGCGCCCGCTGTTGGGTCGGACGTGTGAGACAATTCCGAGCAAATACTGTAAAATGACTGGCTCGATATGTTCCCGCTCGGTGTTTCGACAGAGGACTCCAGGGCAGGACAGTTGAAGTCCAGAGCAGGACAGTTGGAGCCCACACCCACGACGTCAAGTCAAAGACACCACTTCCTGCGTTAAAAAAACTAGCTCTGCTTAACGAAGTTAGGGGGCACAGTCCGGCGGAATGTTGCGCCAACCCAAGTCGACGTTGGTTGCGATGTGACACATAGAAGGCCGATACATGGGCGAATCTCGACTGGGTCATTCCGTAGGAGAGGCGTGGGTGTATTGTAGCTGTGGGCGCGCGGTGTGCGGGGTCATTGTCTTGAGGCGCACGTAGGTTAGTGTATGCGCCCTACGGTTCCGATAGAGAACATGTCGTGCCTTTGATGGCGGTCGGTCGCGCTGCGTGTCCCTTTCCAGTCACCCGAGGCAACAGCAGCGAGTGGTGTTGGATACTTCTGTGCTAGTGCCAAGTACGCCGACCCGAGAAAGCAGCAAATGGCGGAAATCACTGCACTGTAGCCGTACTGCCGTCGTCTCGCTGTCGTTCGCTAGCTCCCGTCGGTGGAGTGGCATCTGGGTTTGAAGGAAAATGAAGCAACTCGTGATGTACTGAGCGACGATGTTGCTGCAGTAGAAAGCATTTGTTGGTCAGGTATATCTAGGGGATTCCTACGGGGAACAATTATAGAGCGACAACCAGCACTTGAAATCGCTTGAAGCACTACTGATAAGCACGGGGGTAGGCAATGGGGAAAAATATACCGCCATTCAGCAGAGTGTAGCGAGAGTCAAACTCTAGAAGTATTCAACGCATTTTGTCCTTGAGAAAAGAAAATTGCGGATATGGTCTACTGTAGAACGCTAGAGACGTCTTCACGGGGGAACAAGTTGGACCTTTGCAGGATACTAGATAGAGATAGAGTGCCGTCAACACTGATCTTGCAGCGGGGAAAACGTGTTGTTCTGTTCCTGATTATTGAGGTACATTGAAGCAATGCTCTTGCAACCGGATGCTGGATAGGGTAGGCGCGTATGCCAAAAGAGGCTGGTGACTCAAGGTGGTGGTACACGTTCGGCCCAAAAAGGTCATTTCCAATTCCACCACTAATGAGAATGCAACATTTAGGTGCTCGCCAGCTTCGGAGCTGCGAAGTAAGGTGCTATGTAGGTGAGCTTTATTTTCGTTCTCGGAATGGACGTTCTTGCTTGAGGGGAGGAAGGGCAGGGGGGGAGGCGATGTGGACATGTGGCTACGGGGTATTGGTTGTGGTCGTTGAGTAGGGGAAAACTTGTCCTCGTTGGCATATTCATTGCTGACGGGATTGCTTCTGCTGAGGTTCCCAACTTGTTTGCCGGTTTGATGCACATGAGGTGCCCCCCCCCCCCCCCCCCCCCCCCCCCCCCCCCCCCCCCCCCCCCCCCCCCCCCCCCCCCCCCNGTAAGCATGTCAAGAAGTGGAGGCGAACTGCGTTGTTCGGGCGGTACCAAAATGTGCCTATTGATGATGCGGTTGGTTGTGAAATGTTGTTGTTGTTGTGGTGACGGTTGTTTGATGGCGATGTTGTTCTGCTGTAACCTAACGCCAAAGAAATAGTCGAGCCTCCCTCTTTAGTACCTCATCGTTGTTGTTCTTGCTGTTGTGGACGTCTCCAACCCCATACGGAACGATGTTTCGGTGTTCACGGTTTGGCCTGCCTGGAGTAGCTTTGGAAACCAAAAGAATGTGAAGATGTTTGAACATGCGTAGGCACCTTAACGTCGTTCGAGAAGGATTAGGGGGGCCCAAAAACACATTTGTATGAAATAATAGACGGTCCGTGGTGGAGAGGTCACGAAAGAACTGAAAAGCGTCAGCGGGCGAACAATCCAACGAGTGTAAACATTTTTTTTTGTGTTTGTGCCATACCTTGGACACATACATACATACACGCATTAATTGGCGCAGACACCTCACGCTGAGACTCGAGGCAATTAGCCGCGCGCTTGTACGAGCACAAGAAAGGCACAAACTTGAGGAAAGCTATTAGTCTAGACTACACAGGGTGAACGCGGTGTATTTGAGTACCAGAGATCATCACGGCCGTGGCGAGCTCTCTGTGCGGCTGCACGCAGCCGGCCGCTAGGCTCCCACACCTCTTGCGAAGACCGTGCGTACACCTCCCCCACTCGCGCGGGTCGCATGAAGGGATCTTACGGAGACCCAGACGCCGATTGAACGTCATAACAGGTGGACTCGTGCCCTACTAATCGAAAATCGGGGTCATTAAGGGGGGGGGGGGGACTCATAGTCTTGCATGCCATAGTCGTTAGACCATTGACCTCGCATCCCTACAAAGCCGGGACGGAGCACGCCGGGTTCTCACCGGACCAGGCTCTCACATCACCAAGCGCGAAGCGCCGTGAGATATTCGGCGAGTCGCATGAAGGGTGCGCTGCATCCTGCTAAGGGTGTTCGGCATCTTGTGCTTACTTCCTTGCGTACGGATGACAGCTGCGTATGAATTAATTTATTTTCTGGTGCTTTCACTTCCAGAGACAGTTGTAAGCACTGTGTAACTGCCTCGAGGGTGCTTGACCATTTTAACACAACGTGGTGCGATCATCCCCCTTGCGCGGAGTGAGGGTTCTCCACCCCGCACAACATGATCTACTCGACCATCATTATGGTTGCCGGCAAAAAAAAAACGGAGATGAAAAAAAAAAACGTAACCTGGTTGCCGAGTTCACGACGTGAATTGGCTTGTTTTACAACGTCGTTGCCAAGCGACGAAAACCCAACCCCGATGGCAAACACCGGGGCGGGGGGGTCATCAAGGGGGGGGGGGCGGGGACATATACCCATGTATTGATGGGAGGACTTGCAAAAACAAAAATTGAAAATCGGCCTTGGTCCATTCCTGTGCGTATGTAGCTTTGGCATGATTGGTATCGTTTTCTTCTCCCACACAAATCAGAAGAAGCGCGGCGAGTGCTCTCTCGGCAATCGGTAGTCGAGGGGTTTTGAACAATTTTGAACAGCCCAATACTTCTTTACGACCAGTTGAAAAGGGAATGGGGTCGTTCGAGTTTCCATTGGGTGTAGTACAGAAATCAGTGCAGGAGCTGTTTGCATGTATGTCGGTTCCCGTGACGATTTTGGTCGGTGACAGCGTCTTACTGTTTCATCGCCATCCTACTTACGCCACTCACTCGTGAAACGGCGTGTCACGTGAGGTATGCAACGCCATCATCAGCCCCAGGGATGATGAGCTGCCGTTGCCTATAATCCTGAGGGTCTGTCACCTTTCACAGAGGTTTGCGACAAACAAGAGCACGGTCGACCTTGCTTTGTGATGTCATCGTTGGGTCTGGAAACCAATCGCACCGACAGCTGCGCGCAGACGCAGTACCGCTAAAGAAGTATTGCGCCCAACCAAAGCACCATAAACAACCGAAAGCGACGCGCATGAGCTCGTATGTCCGACCAACTGCCTACCTGGTAAAAACGGCTCGGCACGACTGTGGTGCGCGCCCAACGTACGGCCATTCTCGCTCAACGAGTTTCGTCGCCATGCTCATCTCTAGGAGGTACACCGATGGCGTAGGGACAAACAAGCAGTTTCGATTTCAATTCGGCAACAATAATAATCACCAACAGGGTCGACAAGAACCACATGCACACCCGCGAGATAACCGTTCCGAGCTCGAACGGAACAAGAAGCAATGTCATTCCAAAAACACAAACGTTGTTCCAAGTAGTACAGATTCGGAACGGGAAACAACCGGGGGCACACATCGATGACCCTGTAACAATAACGGACACAGGTGGCTGACCCCACCTTGGTCCCATCACCAGGCAAGTGGCATTGCAGAACGAACTGTCGAGACAGCCAAAGCAAGACAAGAACACCACGAAGGCCTACAGAACTCAAGCAGAGCTCAAACAGAACTTAAACCAAACTTACACGACGAAACAACTAGGCGCTTACCCCACGCTTGGAAACAAGCGGAATTGGCATACCAAACACCAAACTGGCGAGAGAATCGAAACAGCCCCGGGTCGTACGCAAGAAAAACCAACGCCCCTCTATAGACCTCCGTAGGATCATGCAAGCCACTCTCGCTCAAC